AGTGAAGTTACATGCAAATACTTTTCAGTGGTTGCCAATGCAGCTCCCCAGAAGGATTTTACCAGTTGCAAAAATGTTTCACTAGGCATGGGGCTTAAGTAGAATCCACAAATGGTAAATTTAGTGCTATTAGGGACCATTTGTACCTTTGTAGTTAATGCTATTATGTAAATTTAGTGCTATTATGGCTCTCACTCAACATGACTATGGATCTCACTTTGTTTTTTGAGTATAGAGCCCTTTGTACCTTGGTAGTTAATGCTGTTTTATTTATTTGATTACAAGGTGGCTAATTCTAACTAAGGAGTACACTGTAAAAGTAGTTTAACTCAAATGAATGTGCATCCAACAAACTAGCTTGTAAAGGTATTTCTAACTCAAATGAATGTGTTAAGGATATAATTGTAAAAGTATTTTGTACATTGTAAAAGTAGATTTAACTCAGATGATGGTATCCAGCAAACTATACAATCGTAAAAGATATCTTCTAACTCAATCAAAGTGTTCAAGGAGTACAATTGTAAATATACTTTTAAGTTTTAACTCAAATGAAAATGTATCCCGCAAACTAACACTGCTACTGCAAAAAAAAAAAAAAAAAAAAAAAAAAAAAAAAAAAAAAAAATCAGTTTTCAGATACTGAACACCACTGCACAAGTTGCAAAAATGCAAACAATTGAGCTGCAACTCCAGAAAAAACACTCCCGGAAACTGCAAGTCTAGAACAGCCGGAACATCCAAGCACCCCCCAGAATAAGCTTAACTTCCACGACAGAAACTGCAAAACCTGCAAAACTGTCCATGGAACAGCAGAAAAATGCAGCAATTAAGCTGCAGCTCCACAGCCAGCACCTTCCAAAATTTCTCCTCTAGAACACCACACAGACCAAAAGAAAGCAGCTTTCTGTTGCAGCAACTTCAACATGCCCACACTTCACGGCCAGCCAACCAACACTGCAATCACTGCGAACACTCATAGAAACTCAAAAAAAAAATGCCCAGCTTCATAATCACAAAGAACTTACAAACTGCAAAGTTCTCCCGGAACAACAAAAAAACATAAACTGCACAAACTACACAAGCTGCAGAAAACTCCTAAACATGGTACAAACTGCAAGTGCAAAGACACACAAACTCCCGACAGTCCTACTAAAAATCAAAATTCAGTCTTGTCTGCATTTATTAGAAAATCTGTTCAAATCTGGTCTGATTCAGAAAATAAATCAGAAACATGAAAAAAAAATAGTTCACTCCAAATTAAATTAACTTCTACCTATGATGGAAAATAGAGAAGAAACACTAGACCATGGTCAACTAAAGAAACCAAATTACAAATAATCTATACTAGTGTAATTTTCTTTTGCAGCTTTCTTACAAAATATTTTCATCAATTAAAATATATTTCCACGCAGACCAAACAAAAGCGTATAGTTCTTTATACTTAACACAGAGACAAAGAAAATGGAAGTGAAAATGTAGGAAGAAAAATTAAGTGAGAAATTGTAAGACTCCCTAATTATAGTAAGTTAAATATGAGAGCCTTTAAGCCAATACCTATGCCAAAAAAATATCTAACATAGCACACACCAAGCTAAATTGTACAGTAGAGTAAGTTGAAGACTAAGTAAAGAGAAGAAGTTGACTTAGGCTAACTAATTAAAACACTAGTAAAAGCGACAGCATATAAGTATCACTTTAATAAGTGAAGGATAGTTGTGATATTTTACTTCTTTCAGCTTCCAGCATTTGTCTTTCATACTCAATATCCCCCCCTCAAGCTAAACTGCCCTGCAGTTTGAGCTTGTTAAAAAAAACTTTGGCTCGGCAATAAACAAATCCATCACTCTGCAGTAAAATGAATTGAAACTCCAACTTCACTACACTTCAGATCATATTGTAGTAGATCTCAACTTGATTCTGCTTCAATAGCTGCTCTGCATTGCAAATCAGATCTTCATAACCTTCAGTGTGTCAATCTGAACGGTTAATCCTCAACTACACTACACAAACTAACCACGTACCAGCTTCAGTTCATCACAGCTCCACCTTATCTACTACACAAACTCAATGAAAGGAACTTCACTTCAGTAAACCTCAGCAAAGCTTAAAGGAACTTCACTTCAGTAAACCAAACAGTATCAGCTTCAGTTTATCACAGCTAAATTGTGCTTCAATATGCCAACATCAACAATAGCACATTATCAACAACTTTCACTTCAATTTTAATCTCAAACTACCACAAGCTCCAAAAAAAAAAAAAAAAAAAAAAAAAAAACATCACTTCAGTATACTAACAGCAACATAAGACTTCACCTCAGTATACTAACAGCAACAACTCAATTGAAGCTACTGGTCACAACTCCAATTAACAGACTATTCATGCACAACTTCAATTGTGGAGAGGGGCCCAAAGGTTAGAATGAATTAGTTCAAGAGGCTTGAAAGCTCCACTAGAAGAATATGGAAAAATAGATTGGCAATCTACCATTGACATGCTAAGCAAAATGGCAAAGACTTAACAAGATTTATATGCATTTAATTGTGCAAACACAGTGCTCAAAACTTGTTCATTGGGGGGTCCAAGTCTCTTATGTCATAGCATTGCTTTAAACTTGTCACAACAAAGCTTGATGGCTAAAAACATAAGTTTTCAAGTTAAAAGCTTGCGGCTAACAACATAAGTTTTATTGATAGAAACAATTAAGTGCAGATACATACATGAGCTGTATCGAACACAGTTTTACACTTTGACCCAAAATTCTCATTCCTAAGAGAACGGTTACATTCTAAAGTATTAAGAGAAACATCAGAATTTTTATATGTAGCAACATTGAAAACAGTTAGCAAGAATGTTAGAAAAATCAGTAGATGACACATCTGCAAACAGCAAGCATCAGAGAGAGAAACTGAAGTAAGCCTGAGTATGGATAGTAGAAGCTGGAACAAGAGGAGAGATAGGGGGATCTTTAGTTGGTACAAACCAACTTTAAGCTCCCCTTGTAACAACACATATCTTGTGACTTTCCTTGATCATATAATGAACACAAGGAATTCAACTACACAATTATTATCCTTTGTAAATTTTGAAATCCTTAGCAAATTTTTAGACATATGAGGAACACCGAGAACATTTTTAAGATAAAACATAGATTCAAAGCACTTGTAGAAGAGTAAACCTGTATGAGAAATGTTCACACGCTCACAATTCCCAACTTGAGTTTGATCCTGGCCAGTGTAGCTTGCATTTACAAACAACTTACTCAAATCTGTTGTGACATGATCAGTGGCTCTTGACTTGATGTACCGAACTGGTTCTCTACTGTAGCTGAAGCAGTTGTTGCATATTATTAGAAACATTTGAGTAGACAAAGAAGCTTAATTGAGAATTTAACCTTGAGCTGGAGAAACTTGATGTGAAATCATAGCTGGTGAGACATTGCATGCTTGAACAGCCAATTAGGTTGAGGAGAACTACAGTGTGGCTTGACTTACCACATGTTAATAGGCTTATTTCTATAATTAGAACCTCTACCATAATCTCCTCCCCCTCCTAAAAACTGATTAGACTGAAAGTGTTGAGAATATGAGGAACATTCACATGTTGAGCTAAAAGAGCTGAATGAGATTAGGATTAAGTATGAAATTGGGAGTTTGCTGAGGTACTAAGTACAATGGAACGGATTATAGCCAGCAACACTAACACCTTTATGACCAAAACTAGGACTATAGTCCGCATCAGTGGCACCTTGATTATTAACAACATTATCATTTGATTTCTGGTTCTTATTCTAACCAAACTTATAATTGACAATACTGCTAAACTAACCAAATTCACCTAATCTCCATTGAAGTCTAAACTAATAGCAACTGATAGCAAAGCTTTATTCTTTTCTAATGTAACTCATACTTTTGTACACAATCTTGTGCCTTTTGCAATGATATTCTCCAAAGCTAGAAGTAATGTTAACACCACAAGAACTCAGGACAATCCAGTATGTAATTCCAAATCCTCATCATTATTACCACACCACTAACAAATAGTTACATCATCAACATATTGTTAGCTTTAGTCTCCGAAACAGTTCTTGTTCAAGTGTAAGCCAAGTTTTAGAAGCTAACTGACATTTAGAAACTAGCCTAAATATCGATTCAGAGATAGAGCAAAAAGCCAACTCACTAGACATTTGTCGATTCTCTTCCATACGATATTTAGGATGACCTTCTTCATCATTGCACCAGTCGAAAATCCTTCTGAACTGACCTTCAAGAACGCAGGTGGACAAACACTCAAACCAATGTGTGACTTCAAGCTCTGAGCTGACAACAAATAAAATCTGAGATCTCCAAAGTCGATAGTTGTCACGATGCAATTTGGGGTAATAATTACAATGTGGAAGAGAATAAATTGTATGGGATCGGATGACAGGTCAAGATAAAATTTTGCATTTTCTCAGAAATGTTTGGAGGGGAAGAAAACAACCCAGAATTGTCTATTTTGACAGTTATTAAGGGCATTGTTTGACTAAATGAACTTGAGGACAATATACGAAGTGATTGCCATTGAACAACTAAAATTATTACTAATTTGATTAATATAATATTTTTTTCTAGGCCCGAATTGCTTTTATGTTTGTCCAGCCCAACATGAATAATAATCGTGTTGGGTCGGCACAACCACTTTTCTGTAATTCGAGGCCTAATAGGCACAACATGAAGTGGGTCGTGCCAAGCTCAAGCCCAAGCACGAATGGGCTAGCACAAACAATGAATTTCTAAAAGGAAAAATATACTTTATCTTCTGTCATCACATTTACCACCAACAATGAAGATAGCTGAGCTTGTGTTCATCCCTGACCAGGCGCTGGCCACCTAGCTCCCCAATTGAGTTTGCAAAGCCTTGTTAGATTGAGATGAATGTTTCCAGTGACTGCTCTTCTCATGGATTCTCCTTTTGCACCTCTCCTACAGCTGCATGCACCAAATCTTGCAGAATCTATTATTCAGTAAGGTTCATCAACCTTCCTCCTCCGGTAGACTTCTCTCCTCACAAGAGGTTCATAAATCTGTAAAAGTTTTAATTGAATTTATAGATTGTCATAGAGCTTGTGTTAAAGAAGCTATTGTCAAGCATGTGCTTTAAAACTCTAGTCAGTTCCATTTGCTGGGTGTTGGTTGATTTTCTTGTACATCAATGATAGATGTGGTAAATGAACTTGGAGTTCCTACTTATTCGTTCTAGACTTCTAGTGAAGCTTTTCTTGTCTCGTGCTGTACCTTCCAATTCGACATGATGAAGTAGGAAGAGAAATTGAAGAGTTTGATGGTGAGCTAGTGATCCCTAGTTTATATTAATCCAGTTCCAAGCAGTGGTCTACCTAAAGTTTTGTTGAAAAAGCATGGTGGCTACACTACAGTTTGAACCATGGAAGAAGATACAAGAGACCAAAGGGATTATATCACACATTTAGGAGCTAGAAATAATTTATTACATTAACATGTTTAACATGACTTTATAAAAGACTTAATTCTAGATGAGTGTTCTACATTTCTCACTCATCTAGAATAATATGTAAAAATAGATTGTGCAATGTACCAAATTCACATGCGGAGCAAGAATGTTTAGAAAAATCAGCAAAACATTGAAAACAGTAGAAAAAATGTTTAAAAAATCAGTAGATGGCACATTCTGCAAATAGCAAGCATCAGAGAAAAGAAGACTGAAGTGAGCCTAAGTATGAATAGTAGAAGCCGGACAAGAGGAGGAGATAGAGGAATCTTTGTTGTGCAAACCAACTTTAAGCTCCCTTGTAACAACACTATCTTGGTGACTTTGTCCTTGATCATTATATGACCAGCAAGGAATTCAACACAAAATTATTATCCTTTGTAAATTTTGAAATCCTTCAAATTTTAGAAATATGAGAACACAGAGAACATTTTATATAAGAACATAGAATTCAAAGCACTTGGTAAAGTTGTAAACCTGTATGAGAAATGTTCGACGCTCACAATTCCACCTTGAGTTTGATCCTGGCCAGTGTAGCTTGCATTTACAACAACTGACTCAAATCGTTGTGACATGATCAGTGACTCTTGACTTGATGTACCAAACTGGTTCTCTGACTGTAGCTGAAGCAGTTGTTGCATAATTATTAGAAACATTGTGAGTAGACAAAGAGGCTTGAATTGAGGAATTATAACCGTGAGCTGGAGAAACTTGATGTGAAATCATAGCAGGTGAGACATTGCATGCTTGAACAACCTATTAGGTTGAGGAGAACTGCAGTATGGCTTGACTTACCACATGATAAATAGGCTTGTTTCTATAATTAACCTCTACCATAATCTCTTCCTCTCCTGAAAACTGATTAGACTGCAAGTGCTGAGAATATTGAGGAACAAAATTCACATGCTGAGCTAAAGACTGAGTGAGAGGTAGGATTAAAGTATTGAAATTGGGAGTTTACTTAGGTAAAGTACTATGTAACAGGATTATAGCCAGCAACACTAACACCTTTATGACCAAAACTAGGACTATAGTCCGCATCAGTGGCACCTTGATGATTAACAACATTATCATTTAGTTTCTGGTTCTTATTCTAACCAAACTTATAATTACATATACTGCTAACTAACCAAATTCACCTAATCTCCATTGAAGTCTAAACTAAGAGCAGTTGATAGCAAAGCATTATTCTTTTCTAATTGTAACTCATACTTTTGTAACAAATATTGTGCCTTTTGCAATGATATTCTTCCAAAGCAAGAAGTACTGTTAACTACACACAACGAACTCAGGACAAATCCAGTGTGTAATTCAAAAAAATCCTCATCAGTTATCACACAACCACTAGCAAATAGTTACATCATCAACATATCGTTTCATTATAGCATGTTCACTCTCACTTAGGTTTTCTTTCCTAGTAGATTGTAAGAAGCTCCTAATATGTAGAGTTTTAGCTTTAGTCTCCGAAACAAATTCTTCTTCAAGTGTAAGCCAAATTTTAGAAGCTAATTGACATTTAGAAACTAGCCTAAATATTGATTCAGAGATAGAAGCAAAAAGCCAACTCACTATACATTTGTCGATTCTCTTCCATAACGAATATTTAGGATTGACCTTCTTCATCATTGCACTAGGTGAAAATCCTTCTGAACTGACCTTCAAGAACGGACGTGGACAAACACTCAAACCAGTGATGTGATCTGCAGGCTCTGAGCTAACAACAAATAAAATCTGAGATCTCCAAAGTCGATTGTTGTCACGCTGCAATTTGGGGTAATAAATTGCAATGTGGAAGAAAATAAATTGTCTGGGATCGATTGATCAGGTCAAGAGTAAAATTTTGCATTTTCTCAGAATTGTTTGGAGGGGAAGAAAACAACCCAGAATTTTCCATTTTGACAATTATTAAGGGCATTAGTTATGACTGTAATGAACTTAAGGACAATTATACGAAGTGATTGCCATTTGAACAACTAAAATTATTACTAATTTGATTAATATTAATATTTTTTTTCTAGGCCCAAATTGCTGTTTATGTTAGTTCAGCCCAACATGAATAATAAATCGTGTTGGGTTGGCACAGCCACAATTCTGTAATTCAAGGCCCAATATGGCCCAATAGGCACAACATGAATGGGTCGTGCCAAGCTCAAGCCCAAGCACGAATGGGGCAGCACAAAAACTGTCACGAATGAATTTCAATTTCAAGTTTTTACCACGAAAATAGCTAAATTAATAATTTTTTTCTCTTTTTTATTCAAGTGTTTTTTTTTTCCCTAATTGGTAATTATTGAACTATTTTAATATTTAAACTAGGTGTAGGGTTTAGGGTCCTTGCATTGCCCAGGTATGTTTATTGCTTGTATTTGAAACACTTCATAAACAACATTATATTGACAACAAACACCAATTATATTAAATCACATATAATGAAATGCAATATTTTATTTATTAAGTAGTTAATAATACACCAGTTCAAGAACATAAAAAAACTCTTTGAACAACGTAAAAGTAAACTGTAATAGATCAAAAGATTTCTTAAAGATAATAACAATATCCAATGTCATTTTTATACAATTTTATATTTCTTAAGTATTTAATGTATTCAGTTAGTAAGAACCATTTTTAATTTTCATTTAAGATATAGTTTGGTAACTTGTTTGCTACAATTAACAATTGTTCAATATATTTTTTTAATAGGAAATATTAACGGTGATTAGTGGATTTGTTAAAAATAAAAACAATATAAGATGTCATTATTGGATAGTAAGAATTATTTTACTTTTCATTTTGAATTATGGTTCGGCAATTGTCGTATTACAATTAAAAATTGTTTAGCATATTTGTTTAATAGGTAACAATAACGAAGATTTGTGGATTTCTTAATGATAAAAAAACAATTATGGTTGGGCAGTGAGATTGTGAATTGAACTTGTGAATTGAACGAGATCTTAATCTATTACAATTATGAATCAATCATGGTTCGGCATCTAACTTATTACCATGTTATAGTCAATTGGAAGCAGACCTTGATCTATTACAATTATGGTTAATTTATGGTTCGACAACTGGGTGCTCACAATTTTATGGTCGAATTTTTTGTTCAGCATCTGGTTTATTACAATTAATTAGTATTAAACATTATAGTTCAACATTGAGATTTTGAACTCAAGGAGACATTTGATCTATTACAACTATGAATAAATTATGGTTTTGCGGATGACTTATTACAATTCTATAGTTGAATTTATTGTTCGACATCTGACTTATTATAATTCAATAGTAGAAAAAGTTATGGCCCAAGAGTGAGGTTTTGAATTCAAGGAGACCTTGAGCTATTACAATTTTGGATACATTATGGTTTGGCGCCTTGGTTATTACACTTCTAAGCATCACAAAGAGCTTGTGCGTGAAACATCAAACCGAGAGACCTTGCACTCAATGTGTAGTATATACTAAATATAGCTCGGAACTCCAAGCTCATCGGCAATATCGATCATGACTGTACAAAACATGTCAAGAACGAACCCAGCGAGTCTAGGTGAGTCATCGGACGCTGACTTGGAGTGAAAAAGCTTAGAGACAGCTTCTTTGACATGGGGTTGATGAGATTCAATAAATAAAGTGAAGAATTTCTGGGGTTGGATCCTGGATGTGGGAGGTGATCGTTGTGAAGATGAACAAAGTTGATACGGTTGGCTGCAGAGACTTCGGAGTCAAAGGGTAGTTTCATGACGAGGACGGTGATGGAGAGGTGGTGGTGGTAGTGAACGAGGAGCTTGGCCAGCTCCACGGTGGAGACGAGTTCTCCAATGCCTAGTATAGGAAAAATGACGAGCTGAGCTTTCTTGTTCATTGTGTGGATGATTGATGATTCATAAATAATTATAAATGATGTCAATGCTTTGCTAGTACTGAAAAGAGTAGAGACACGTGTAACTCATGCAATGAGTGTACTGTGTATGCCATGTCAGCATACAACGAGTGTACTATGACATGAATGAGTCTATCCCATGTAATTAAGTATCAATCATATGAAGGATTAAATCTATTTTGATATCTGACATTAATTATGTCACAAATCCATATCTTATAACCCGTTAAACCATCTAATTATATATAGTAATTCATATATAAGAATAAGAAGAATGTTATTTACCTGCTGGAAGTCACATGAAGTAGTTCAGCATCCCTTAACAAGGTTAGAACTTGAAGGTCAAGTGCCGTAGCCCCTTCAATCTCTCAGGGGGACACTGGCGCAAACTGGCAGAAGGCAGTAGATGGCGTCAACTCCCCTGGCAACTCCACGATCATGCTGCCCCCTTGCAGATGATGATGGCTTTAAACTTTTTCATACGTTGAGATACAAGTATCAGCTTAAAGAGAATCCTAGCAGTTTCAAGAATAAAGTATCGAAAACTTAAATAATAGAAACTATATGACATTTTTTTCTACAAATTTGCATACAAAACTTATTGGATGAATTTTAAACCAATCTTTCATTTTCTTCTATGTTTTAACCCAAAAGACAGATTCTGCGATAAAAATTAAGTCAATGAAGAAAATGCTTTGATCACAGCAGAGGAAATAACATAAAAGATATCCATAACTAAGAAGCAATGAGAAAACAGCCACTGCAGTTAAAAAAAGTGTGAAAGATCCAATAAAGAAATTGATGCACCGTATATAATAAAGCCCCATTGCTGCTGAGCATAGAGTGATATAATTTTTTTAAAGGCAAAATTTTTACCATCATGCTAGATGAGAGTTTTTCTGTATTTTTACCTGAACAACGAGACAAGGCATGTTCAAATAAAGTTGAGCCGCTTATCCACTTTACTCTAATTTAGTCTCCACTGGTTAACTTGACCACAAATCAATATCTTATAACCCATTAAAACCATCTAATTATATATAATAATTAATGTATAAGAATAAGAAGAATGCTATTTACCTGCTGGAAGTCACATGAATAATTCAGCATCCCTTTACTAGTGTTTTGAAGGAAGAGAAAACAAGGTTAGAACTTAAGAATGCCTGGTTGAAGGTCAAGTGCTGTGTAGCCCCTTCAGTCTCTCAGGGGACCACTGGCGCAAACTGGCAGAAGGCAGTAGATGGCGTCAACTCCCCTGGCAACTACACGATCATGCTGCCCCATTGCAGATGATAATGCACTAGAGCGAGAATATGCTCATGTTGAGTTCTGCAATCCATTAACATTTGTTCCTGTCACAATTAAAATTGATGTTCTCAAAAAAGGGAAAATGAAATTACAAATTTTTGAACTAATTGATTCTTGTGAACATCCATTAGAGCATCACATTTACCAAAATATCGAAAACTCATTCCAAGAAGAAGGAAATGAAAAACAAAAGACCACAGAGAATCCAAAGTAGGCATTTTCTTCTTAACTTAATGAATGTCAAATCTCGTATATCAATAGAAAATGGCTTTAAACTTTTTCACAGGTTTTATTTGTTTAAAACTTATTCCTGTCTAAGACCAAAATTAGTTCAAATTTCCATTTCAATCATCCATCATTCAAGCATAAGGTCCACATTCTCCATATTACCAATTTATCTACCTGAAACAGTTTCATATGTTGAGATACAACTATCAACTTAAAGAGAATCCTAGCAGTTTCAAGAATAAAGTATCGAAAACTCAAATAATAAAAACTATATGACAATTTTTTCTACAATTTTGCATACAAAACTGCTAAGATGAATTTTAAACCAATCTTTCATTTTCTTCTTTGTTTTCACCCAAAAGACAGATCCTGCAGTAAAAATTTAGGTATGGCCATTTTACTATATGAAGAAGTACTTTGATCACATCAGAGGAAAGAACATAGAAGATATCCATAACTAAGAAGCAATGAGAAAGCAGCCACTGCAGTTAAAAAAGTATGAAAGATCCAATAAAGAAATTGATGGACCATATAATAAAGCCTTGTTGCTGCTGAGCATAGAGTGATATAATTTTTTTAAAGGCAAATTTTTTACCATCGTGCTAGATGAGAGTTTTTTTGTATTTTATCTGAACAATGAGATAAGGGATGTTTGAATAAGTTAAGCAGCTTATCCACTTTAATTTATTCTCCACTGGTTAACTTGACCACAAAAGACCATGCAAACATACAGATTATTTACATCATGCTGCTGAGCTGCTCAACTGAGCAATTTGAGCATTGATTGAAATTGTCAGCTTTCACAGAAGACCAACATTTAGACCTACCATCATGTTGCATCCACAATAATTAAATGACCAACTACTGGCCTTTCAACAGGCAATATTTTTGCAGCTAGTTGTCTTCACTAAACATAGTTTTCATTCTCCCATTTTCAAAGTCTATAACGACTATTCCTGTTCATTCATTAAACTGCGAGATGGCATCTAGATTGGAGCTTCGGCTGGCCCTATAACCAGCATTTTTCATTTCCATAGCTAATCCTTCCAACATCTCATATATCTCATCACTTTGCGGATGCTCTTGATCCTTAGACACAAAACGGTTCACATAACCTCCTGTATCAATCCAAGAACATCCAACTTCTTTTCTCAACCCTCTTTCTCGCACCTCTTTCCTTACTTTGTCAACATTTTCCCAGTTTCCTTCTTCTGCATAGATATTTGAGAGCAAAACAGGATAGCCCGTCATTTTGTTTCTTGCATCTAATTCAAGCAACTTCTTGGCAACAACTTCTCCCAATTTGGATTTTCCATGAAGTCTGCAAGCACCAAGAAATGAACCCCAAATTTCCAACACATTCCCCTCTTCACCTAATTTTTGGACAGACTTATAGGCTTCAACCACCCTCCCAACCCTACCTAACATATCCGCAATGCAACAATAGTGCTCAGTTGAGGGCTGAATCTTGTAATTACTCTCCATCAACTCAAATATTTGAAGACCTTCATCATCCAAGCCAGCATAACTACAAGCAGACAACACTGCAACAAAGGTAATGGCATCAGGTTCAATGTCACATTCTTGCATTCTGTGAAGCAAAGAGAGAGCTCTCTCGCTCATCCCATGTTGACCATAACCCAATATCATTGTGGTATATGTGACAGGATTTTTTTCAGAGGTTTGGGCAAACACATTTTCAGCATAAGAAATTGACCCTGACTTAGAATACATATCAATAATTAATATATAAGAATAAGAAGAATGTTATTTACCTGCTGGAAGTCACATGAAGTAGTTCAGCATCCCTTAACAAGGTTAGAACCTAAGAATGCCTGGTTGAAGGTCAAGTGCTGTAGCCCCTTCAATCTCTCAGGGGGACACTGGCGCAAACTGGCAGAAGGCAGTAGATGGCTTTAAGACCATCTAATTATATAGGCATGCAGCTGTTGAGCTTAGTCCAGTCGCTGCAACAGTGAAACTGCAGTTAAGACCGATCAAAAAGTCACCTCATCAAAATCAATTTCATCTGATAACATAGCTTCAATGAAAATCTCAATAGCTTCAACAGGAGAACTCACAACAGTCAAAAATCGTCCTAGCGAAATCAAGCTCAGCATACACGAAAATAGGTGAACTCACAACAAATAAATCATTTACATATTCACTTACCAATTTAACAAGCAATCCATTAAGTACGTTACCGTTCTTATAGTCCCCTAAACTCAACAAAGCCGGGAAAACATTAAGAAAACTAAAAGCACTGGGTCTAATTCCCTTCATCATCATCATCCTAAATTGCCTAACCGCTTCTGCATATCTCTCTGTCTTTACGTACCATGAAACCATAGTATTTCACGCAATAACATTTCTCCTTTCCATCGTATCAAACACTTTACAAACTAAGTCATACTTCGAACAATCAAAATCAGAATAACCACACCCACCAATTTCAGTATCCACCACAGAACTCAAACAAGTAGAGTACATATTCAACAAAGAGTTATACACAATCATACTGGGGTTCAATAAGCCCCCAATAAAATGGAAATGAACAGCTTTACCGACTCTCAAATTGCGTGTCGCGGCACAAGCCTTCATAGCCTAAGAGTAAGTATAGTTATCACACAAAGTATAAGGAGCGGATTTTTTCATCTGGGCATAGAACAAAATGGCATCTCGTGGCATTTTGTTGCAAATAAAACCGATAATGATGGTGTTCCAAAGGACGGTAGTTGGGCGGGGAATTGTGTCGAACAGCTGGCGGGCTAAATGAGGTTGGCCTTCCTGTCATATTTTACCCAGGCGAGAATGAATTGTAGGGGTTTTGAGTTTGGGAAGTGGAGGTGAAAGGGAAAGGGGTGGCGGAAAAGTGGTGGGCGGTGGTGGTGGTGGCGGAAGAGAAACAGAGGAGGCCATGAATGGATGAGTGAGTTTTGTTGGCAGTTTAAGGCTCTGGTTTTCTGTTATCCTTTCAACTTCATTGCCTTGCCTGAAGTTTATTTAGAATGCGCAGTCAATGACGGCACGTCGTTTATGTCAACTATTTTCCACACGGGTTTAAAAAAGACAAAATTTTTTGTTTAGAATAATATTTAAAATTCGTCATTTATTGTTTAAGTATTTAATGCATATCATAATAGTCTCAGTGCATAGTTTTCTATGCTATCAAAATACCTCTTAATAGAAAAAAGGTATCGAAAAATGTCGGCTTCGTTTGGTTGGATTTTGGGAATGCTACTTTTAGTATTCCCAAAAAAGTTAAATAGTAAAATAACCAAAAACTCACAATATTATTCAACTTTATTCAATATTTTTTAAACCTCCTAAATTTGTTAATTCAATTAAATACCCCTAAATATTTTTAATATTTTTGTTACGGCGACTCCGGCCACCCTCCGACGGTGGTGGTTGGCTGTCCGTATTTGAGGGTGGATTGGATGTGT